GGCGCGCCGTCCCACCAATAGGCTTTGTGATGTATTCCTGTGTTTTGTCTTTTGTCTGGATTTCTTCATTTTTTGAATTCCAATGGTGGTTGGTTGTATACCCATCACCTCATCTTATTCCTTGATCTTTAATCTTGATCTTAGCTTATCTACAATAAATGTTAATTTTGACACTACCCAGGAATGAAAGCCTTTCTTTCATATACTCCAGCAATGAAAGTTTGAGGTCCCAATCATATTTCTTGGGAATTAGCATCGTTGAGTTGTAGTTCAATAGAACTTATTTTAGACATATTTGATATTTCATGATTAGCTTCTTTATATGCTATTTATGACTGCCTAATGGTGAGAATGAATTTGTAGAATATTGTGTCCCTATTCTGAGTATAATGTAAAATTTAAAATGTGAAATTAAATCTTTTATTCTCTCTCTCCCCCTCTCCCTCTCTCTCTCCCTCTCCCTCTCTCTCTCCCTCCCTCCCTCCCCCCTCTCTCTTTCTTTCTCTACAGCATGTTGTTCAATGTGTCTTTGTTGCCATTCGAACTATCGGTAATATCATGATCGTTACAACTCTACTCCAGTTCATGTTTGCATGCATTGGGGTCCAGCTCTTTAAGGTAAGAACAAGGGAAAAAATATCCAGAGCATAATAAAAACCTCTTCATGAGGCTTGTTCAAGTTCTATAGAGATTTTTGAAATAGGAATGGTGCTCTAGATTCAATTGGTATGCTTTTTTATGCACAGGGAAAATTCTATCGATGCACAGATGAAGCCAAGCAAAATCCTGTGGACTGTCGGTAAGAACATTTTCCTATCTGCATTTTTTAGATAACAAAGAAATGGGGAGCTTTGGGGTCTCCAAATGTTGCTGAGAAGCAATATAGTTCCTAAGGTATCAGACCTTTGATGAAATATAGAGCTTCAAGTACTTAGTAGACCCCAGAGGTAATTGAATATCTTCAATGGAACTACATCTGTGTGAAGGGAAGCATGTGGTGCGATATCCCAAGATTCTATCTTGGGCCCAGTACTCTTCAACATCTTCATAAGTGATGTAGATGAGGGGATAGAAGGGCAACTCGTCAAGTTTGCAGATAAGCTGGAGGGAATTGCTAATGCTTTGGAAGAGAGACTCAAGATTCAAAAGGATCTTGACAGACTTGAGCATTGGGCCTTATCCAACAAGATGCAGTTCAGTGATGAGAAAAGTAAGGCCCTGCATTTAGGTAGAAAAAAACCAAATGCATAGATACAGAATAGGTGGTTCCTGACTCAACAGTAGTAATTGTGAGATCTAAGTGTCCTAGTGGACCACAACTTGAGGATGAGCCAGCAGTGTGCTGCAACTATCAAAACAGCCAAAGCAGTCCTGGGCTTCAGCAACAGAGGGATAGAGGTAAGATCACAGGAAGTGACAATACTGCTTTGTACCTCTTTAGTGAGTCCACACTTGTACTACGATATACAGCTCTGTTCACCATGATACAAAAAAGAACTTGGAAGTGTGCAGAGAAGAGCAACAAAGATGTAAAGGGTCTGGAGGCTAAATTATATGATGAACAATTGAACAAGCTCAGTATGTCTAGCCTATGAAAGAGAAGGATTAGGATGGACATGATAATAGTCTTCAGGGGCTATCACAATAAAGAGGGGATTGACTTATTCTCCAAAGCATCAGAAGGCAGGACAAGAAGTACTGGCTGGAAGCTTGTTAAAGAGAGATACAATCTAGAAGTAAGGAGAAATTTTCTTACAGGGAGAACAATTAATCAGTGGAACAGCTTACCTCCTAGAATTGTAGGTGCTCCATCACTCCCTTCCAGCCCTATAATTCCAGGTTCTACTTCAGAGCTATCCATGAGTGTTCTTGGAATAAAGCTGGGCTATAAATACAATAGAAATACCATCAAAATGGAATAATTTCAGGGGGCTATAAGATTCCCCATTTCTGTTATTAATTAGAGTTACTAAAACATGCAAAGGGTTGTCATAGGTGCACTTTAAGAAATATGGAAAATTTAAAATAATTGTCAGTTGCCCTAGTAACTGTTTGCTTTTTTTCAACTATTTCAATAGGGGAATATTTATTGTTTATAAAGATGGAGATATGGACAGTCCAATGGTGAGAGAGAGACAATGGCAGAACAGCGACTTCAACTTTGATAATGTCCTTACTGCTATGATGGCTCTTTTTACTGTTTCTACTTTTGAGGGCTGGCCTGCGTAAGTGTATCATTTACAAAAGAGTATTTTATTTTGTTTTGACTGGCCTTTTCGGAGGTGATCAATTTCTTTTGGGGAAGACTGTGACTGTGACTCTTAGAAATACTATTGCCTTGATGTAATGAACATGTACCATTTTATAGATACAATATGTTACAGAGCTGTACCGTTAATGGAGCAGGGGATATGAACATCTTCTACATTTTAAACAGACTGTAAATATGATAAAAAAATATTTACTAGTCCTTCACATTTCCATTGTTGATGCTACCAGGATGATAGCTCACCTTTGAAATTAATACTCAACATGCTTTGAATCATAAATCGTAAAAGGCCAACACAGTGCTAGGCTGCATTAACAGAGGGATAGAATCAAGATCACATGAAGTATTACTACCACTATAAAATGCCTTGGTAAGGCCACACTTGGAATACTGCATCCAGTTTTGTCACCGCGCTGTAAAAAAGATGTTGAGACTCTAGAAAGAGTACAAAGAAGAGCAACAAAGATGATTAGGGGACTGGAGGCTAAAGCATATAAGGAACGGTTGCTGGAATTGGGTATGTCTAGTTTAATAAAGAGAAGGACGAGGGGGGACATGATAGCAGTGTTCCAATATCTCAGGGGCTGCCACAAAGAAGAGGGAGTCAAGCTATTTTCCAAAGTGCCTGAAGGCAGGACAAGAAGCAATGGGTGGAAACTAATCAAGGAGAGAAGCAACCTAGAATTAAGGAGAAACTTCCTGACAGAACAATTAACCAGTAGAACAACCTGCCTCCAGAAGTGGTGAATGCTCCAACACTGGAAGTTTTTAAGAAGAGATTGGACAGCCATTTGTCCGAAATGGTATAGCGTTTCCTGTCTGAGCAGGGGGTTGGACTAGATGACCTCCAAGGTCCCTTCCAACTTTATTAGTAGTAGTAGTAGTAGTAGTAGTAGTAGTAGTAGTAGTAGTAGTAGTAGTAGTAGTAGTAATATAAGGGGACCTTTAGTGATAGGCATTTGCCCTCTTGTTCCGTGACCAGAAAAGGATCTTCCTTCCAAAATATACTTTTGAATATTGAAACCAGAATTAGAAATTACCATTTTCATGATGTTAGAATCTGTTGTTCATTTGTCTTTAATATGCAGGCTTCTTTATAGAGCTATAGATTCAAATGGAGAGAACGTAGGACCGATCTACAATTACAGAGTGGAAATCTCTATTTTTTTCATCATCTACATCATTATTATTGCTTTCTTCATGATGAACATATTTGTTGGCTTTGTCATTGTCACATTCCAAGAACAGGGAGAACAAGAATACAAAAACTGTGAACTTGACAAAAATCAGGTAATAAAACAGCACCTATTTAAATATTATAATCTAGTATCTTCAGAATCCTAATGTTTCCTTGCTTGCCATTATTAACCAAATTTTGAGCCACAGATCCAAAAGCCAGTTTCAAGCATTGAATTTACCAATCACATTGTGATCACAATCTAGTTCTAGGTGACTTTTCCACTATATGTTTGGAATGGATTTTTCCTTTTGGCTCTGTTATGGAATGTAATTGTTGATATAATGGACCTGTCCACTAATGGATTTGTTTCTGAAATAAAAATTTGAATCACAGAGAGATAGTTCTGGACAAGATTGCAGTTCCTGCTTATGATGTTGATATTTCTACTATTTTCAGCGTCAGTGTGTAGAATATGCTTTGAAAGCCCGGCCGCTGCGTCGATACATTCCAAAAAATCCTTACCAGTACAAATTCTGGTATATGGTGAACTCTACTGTCTTTGAATATATCATGTTTGTCCTCATCATGCTCAACACCCTTTGCTTGGCTATGCAGGTAGGAATGAAACAAGGTGCCACTTTACCTAAGAAATTGGTTATGGCCATTTTATTTAGGAATGCTGTCTGGGAATGCTGGAAGATGGTACAGAGAAAAGGAGCGAAAAGTACCCTCGCATGCAACAGTGGATTTCATTTGTGGTTTTGGAATTACTATTCTTTTTACTAAAATCTTAAGAAAATTATTTTTAGTTCCAGTTTTATTATTTACAATAATATGTTAAGTCATATATCAAAAGCACAGTGTCTGCTCTATGGACTGTGGAATAAAGAGTGGTGGACCCCATTTATTTGTATCAGCTTCAATTTGTTTCACAGCAAATTGGAAAAGGGAGGAGACACCAATGCTTTTGGCCACATTTATAATAGTTATCAAATTCTCCAGACCTTCCTATAATTGTTCAGAAAGTCTGTTCCATAAGGGATTTAAATAAAAAATAAAAAAAATCTAAATTTCCCTATGTAACATCAATGGCATATATTTAATCCTTTATTTGAAGCAGGCATTTAGTGTGCTTCTTCCCTTCAACCAATCCTTGAACAAAGGCTTAACCATTACAGTGAAATATACTGTCTGGATTCATAGTTCATACTAAGCCATCATATTTGCTTTGAGGTTAAAATGTTCTGTGAACCTATCCATCAGTGAACAAGGGGAACGAGCACTGAAATGAATATCACAGTGCCAATACCCCAAACCCATACATTTGCATACAGATAGTCCTTGACTTACAACAGTTCATTCAGTGACTGCTCAGTGTTACAACAGCATTGAAAAGGTGACTTATGATCATTTCCACACTTATGGCCATTGCAGCATCCCCATGGTCACATGATCAAAATTCAGACACTTGGCAACTGACTCAGGACAGTTACAGTGTCCTAGGGTCCCGTGATCCCCTTCTGCAACCTTCTGACAAGCAGGGAAGCCAGATTTACTTAACAAACATGCTACTAACTTAACAACTGCACTGATTCATTGAACAACTGGCAAGAAAGGTCATAAAATGGGGTAAAACTTATTTAACAACTGTCTCACTTGGCAACAGAAATTTTGGGCATAATTATGGTGGTAAGTCAAAGACTACCTGTACTTGTCTGCAATCTTATCGCACAAGTATGAAAAGGTTAGGATTAGGGTTAGGGTTAGGGCTAGCCATTCTGGCTTATTCCACAAGCCAAAATGAAAAGGAATTGCGTTTTAGCACAATGTATCAACCCAGCCAATTTTCACCTTCCAAGTTAATTCTGGTCAAAGTTAGTCAGTTCATTTTTTACTGGTTTTACCTGAATTTTCATGCTATGCCAAGTCATGATGTTATTCATTTTGTTTTAGTTTGGTGCTTTTTTGCAAATGTAGTCATTATGATTTTTAAACAATTAAGATGTAAATCCAGGCATTGTGGTGTCTTTAACAAATAACATGATTTGGTTAAAAGAAAACATGATTTAATGTTAAGCTAGCTTTTGAGAATTGCTTACAAATCTTGCTTAAGAGCAAACTTAATCGGATTATCATATTTAATATCAGTAGTGATTGATCTTTTTAAGGAGCTGGAGGTAAAGAATAATTGGATTTAAGAAAAGGGATATTTTTAAGATAAAGAGAAGGGCCACTTAATAAAAGTTGATAAATAATTGACTTAATAAATTATTTCCCAATATTGGGAGAAATAATATCTAATAGGGAACAATAATTTACTTCGATGTCAGTATGTTATTTCACAGTAGATTTAGAAAGAGACAACAAATAAATGCTATTTGTGGCTGGGTAATAAGTGATCGTCATATGTTTGTTTAATTATTTATATTCAATCCCACTTTTATTATTTTTATAAATAACTCAAGATGGCAAACGTAGCTAATACACTTTCCTTCTCCTATTTTCCCTACAACAGGGGTGTCAAACTCAATTTCATTGAGGGCCGCATCAGCATTGCGGTTGCCCTCAGGGGGGTGGGGTGTGTGGCCAGGGTGGGTGCGGCCTACTAGGTGGGCATGGATGGAGTGGGTGTGGCCTACTGGATGGGCATGGCCAGCTCTACATCGTTCGCGTCAAGGGTGCCTGTGGGGGCCTGGGCAAGAGTGGGACAGATCTGAGGGTCTCTGGCAGAAGGGGATGGGACCAGGGCAAGCACCAAGGCATGGTGCATTTCTTCATTCCTCACAAAGGGTGACACCTCCCCAGCATGCACCCAGGGGGCGGGGCCAACGCGGCAGGGGCTTGTTCCCCGCTGTTTCTGGACGGCCTTGTGGAACTAAGACTGACTGCATTTCAGCATAGATGGCCACCACAAAATTGTACATTGGCTCCTGGCCGGCCTGGGCCAGGGCCAAGGCAGCGGAGGCCGTTCCCTCACTGTTTCCAGGATGGCTTCATGGGCCACATGAAGCCACTTCGCGGGCCGCATCCGGCCCCCGGGCCTTGTGTTTGACATGTCTGCCCTACAACAACAACCCTGTGAGGGGAATTGGGCTGAAAAAGAATGGTCCAAAGTCACACAGCTGGTTTTTGTGCCTAAGGGGGGGACTAGAACTCACCATCTCCTTGTTTTGTAGCCTTTATGCTGCACTTTCCAAACTTCTCCTTGTGAAGTATTAACAACATAGGATTTCATACTAATCTTTTTAGTACAAGATTTGCGGTAGAGTGTTAGAAATGTGTTGTTCATTTATTTTGATTGTCTGAAAAAATATTTAGTTATATTAATATTTTTCTCATTTGTTTTATTCATAGCACTATGGACAGTCTAAACTTTTTAATGATGCAATGGATATTCTGAATATGGTGTTTACTGCAGTGTTTACTGTTGAAATGGTTCTGAAACTCATTGCATTTAAACCGAAGGTAAGAGATTATGTATGATTTAATTAGCATTTCTTTTTTAGTTGCTTCTTTTTAATTTACAAGTATTTTTTGCTTAGATCAGCACACATAAGTAGGTAATTGTAAGTTTTTAATGGTTAATCATCAGAAATACAGTATCTTCACCAAAAATCTTAAATCTGATAACAGTGTTAATGTAACTGCAGGAAATAAAATGAAGAAACATTATTTTTTTTAAAAAAAATGTATTGCTGGTAATATATAAATAAGAAATATATTAAAGTTATAAATCTACTATTTTTTTCGGATAACTCTGAACATATATTACACTCCCAAACATATTGAATGTCAATGTCAAGGCATGTTTAACCATTGTAGTAGTATAACAGAAAACAGGCAGTGTCTTTATGCCACAAATATTTCACAGATTTTTTTTTATATAATTTGGGCAAAAAGAACAGGCATATGTTTGTAGGTGGGCACTGACACATTTGGAAGCAGTGTAGCTTATGAACAGTTTGCAAATAAGCAAATGGACTCCAGCAATTAAATATGACTCTCTCTTTTTTTTCAAATTCAGTAGTTTAACAAAGTTTAACAATTCTCAGTTGTTATTCAAAAATAACAATTTGGATATAAGCTACTATCAGATTTTTATTTTGGTTATGGATCCAATCTAATCCCAGGCTTTGTAGATGCATAATTGTTTCTGCCATTAATCATGTAATCAAATATACTTTGAACTAGGAGTGAAACCATGCCATGCCTCATAACTGATGACAATCTAGTCCTCCAATATCCACATGCTGAATGGAGATGAACCTCCATTAGAAGACAGGCTCTTCCATATAAGGCCACCTATGGAAGCAGAATGTCTGCTGAGCCAAGAGTCTCCACTTTGCCAGTAGCTGCTTGAACTTAGGAATTCTTTTCCAGTTGGGCATGCTCAGTTCACACATGTCATTGGGGGTTTAGCACTGCAACTTATCATTGAGGGAGTGGGGACAACATCATACTTTAGGCCACAAGCCATTGCACTACTTGTTTTCCAGTTTATAATACCATAAATTATTTGCAAAGTTCATGAGGTCGTGAAAACCAAGCATTCTGTAACCAAATGTGGAATTATTTTCCCTTGCCATTGTTTATCAGATTTGTGTGCCAAAAAAGAAAAGACACCTAGTAAGTAATTTCATCTTCGATTATTGCAGTGATGAAGGTTATGGGATGTGTGATGCAAGTTTACTTGCTGTGACTTGTCCATATATTGCATTTTTCCCTTTTCCAGAATCATCTCGATTTCTTTTACTTGTGTTCTTATTTGTATTTGCTTGCTTTGCCCCTACACATTGCTGAAAACAATATTGAGCGTGGGAAAGGTGTGCCTTAAGTGATTAATATGTGACATGCAGTTTAAAATTCCAGTAATCTTATAGTGACTCAGTAAGACAGGAGTCCATTCAAGCTCTTTCCAGTTAAGGATTGGCAAACATTTTGGAGTGCCCATGCTTTGCCTGAGGTGCTTCTCAACCTCCTCTATCGTGAGTGCAATCTTCTCATGATCCAACTTTGTTTACTTTTGTCTGGCTTTTCTCCTGAATTATGCTGATCAAGCAATACATTTTGTTTCAGTCATGAAGTTCGAAGCACATGTTACTGAGACAACAAAGACTGAACATATTTCTTAATTGGAAATATCAGTTCTGCTGGCTTGTTCTTTTATTTATTTCCTATTTTGAGGACTTAAAGAGGCACTAATTGCATGTTGCAATTGGGAAGAGAAAAGAACCTTATTTTTTAAAAAGAGTCATATAAGCTGATTTAAACTGCCACTGGATCTATGTGTTGCCCATTAGTTTCACACTCATCCTTATAATTTTTTATATTGTATGCCAAATGGACTTCAGTTTTTAATTTAGCTTGGACATTACTAATCATATATAATATCGGAAGGAACATAGTTTAGTGCTAGAATATTTGCTTTCGTGCAGAAGATCTGTGGTTTAATCCTTAGCCCTTCTGAATTAGATCTGGAGAATTTTCCATTTGGAAATCTTTCAAAACTATTGGTTCGACTATGTATCAGTTCATATCACATAACTGACCCAAACCGTTTCTATCCAAAGTGAGCCATCTTTGTAAGAAACTCAGCTACTACAAACTGTCTTTGAAACTGTTGGTAAACTATCCCAGCACATTTTAGGTTAAAACTATCCCTTTCTAACCCCATGCCTGAGCATAGTTGTTCTCACAGCATACTAACCATTAACCCTACTAATGATGGGTTAAGCATGCCATGTAAACACAGCCAAAGTTTTTTAAAAATATATGATGGAAAATGGTCTGGCGTTGTGTAAGCCATTTTCTTGTGTTCCTATCTACATGATGAGATTTGGGGTGATTCTGCTTAAAACATAATTCTACACAAAGGTTATTGAACACTTCTTTATGTTTCGTGTTGCAACATATTAGTTTGCAGAAGTAAACTACATAGAAGCATGAAATTATATTTAGATTTTAATAGTCTCCTCTGAATTGTCCTGTCCACCAGGATTTTACATAGGCAGCTGTTCTTTCAGCATGTTATATGAGAGATGCATTTGGGCAGTGAAAGGTGAATTGTGAGGGAAGCTATCAGGTGTCCATGAGTATCATAACAGCTTAAACGTGAGGTGGCAAACTGGTGCCCTCGGGCAGCATCAGGGTTTGTGGTAGTTCTTATCCATAACAGTAACTACTTTAGAAGTTGATGTTAATTTGTAGTGAAGTCTCATTGGAGCACTGTGGAGGATATTCTTTTCTCATACTGCCAGTACCCTGTGTGTCCATATTTACAACATAAACCATCTGCTGCAGAACTTGTTGGCATATGGCAGTGGTATCATGTCACATATAAGCCTTTCCTTCAGTAGGCAATATTGTTTATTCTCTTCTCATGAGGCCACAGAATTTTTGTTTGATGTATTTTCTGTTTATGAAAAAGTTAAACAGAAGAATGCAAATATTCTGACATTTCATATGTAATTACAAACATTTGCACCCTGCCTGCTCTGTTCAGGGCTATTTTAGTGATGCCTGGAACTCGTTTGACTCCCTCGTCGTTCTTGGCAGCATAGTAGACATCGTTCTCAGTGAAGCTGATGTGAGTATTTCCCAGCAAACATCCGCAGTCCCATTCTGCTATTTCTATTTCTCTCTCTCTCTCTCTCTCTCTCTCTCTCTCTCTCTCTCTCTCTCTCTCTCTCTCTTTCTTTTTCTTTCCCCTTCCCTCCCCCCCGCACTCTTTCTTTATCTCTGTTTTCCCTTTCCCCCTTTTATTATGTTATTTGGACAAGTCACAGAACTTTGGATATGTTCTTAACTCCAAATGCAGGACAGACATAATTCATAGTTTGCTTCCCGTTTTCTCAGATTTGAGATGGAAAGATGCAGTACTGGGTACATTGTGTTTCTGTGTTATAACACTGTCCTTTTCTTCTCTTTTTTTCTGTTTCTGTTTTCTCGTGCTACTGAATGCTTGTCCTAACAGCACTATTTCACTGATGCATGGAACACTTTTGATGCCTTAATTGTTGTTGGTAGCGTCGTTGATATTGCTATAACCGAAGTTAATGTAAGTAACCCTGTTCTCCCCATACAAAGTAATGGCTGACCATTTGGCACCAGGGTAAAAAAGAGTACTTGGAAGAGTCATACATCCTTTCCCCTCCTATTAAGAGATGGATTTTTGTGCATTGTGTGGAAATTGGAGTTCCTACAGTAATACCTGTCGATTATGCCCCAAAATTAAAAGAGGAATCATGACAAAGACTTCTAATGGAAATTGAGATATCACATTCAAAAGGCCATATGGTCACACCTGCACAACATAAGTTTTTTCAGGCACAACCAGTGACCTCTTTGATGGGTCATATGTTGTATAGACCTGGTTCAGTTTAAATTGCTATCCAGGAGGGTGGAAGAAAGCCAAGAAAATTAGGTTGTACTGCAAATAAAAAAAAATTGATAAAGTATATATTATCCAAATTTTAATAATCATATTTTATAAATGGCTTTACAAATTCAGTGAAGACATTTTATAACTAGAATTATAAATTTTATTGTGAAGTATTAAGAATTAGGAATATTAATGATAATTTAAATTCAGTCATATGGCTAATAGTCTGGAATAGGGATCGCTACAGGAACTGATGCTTTTGTCAAAATAATGAAATGAGCAATGTACTATTCTGACACAAACTCCATTCTTTTTGAACATCTGTGCAATGTCACAGTGCCTGTACAAAAGGGATGGAACTTGTGGTGCAAAAGCACAATCCTACTTCCGCCATTTCCCTTCACTTCCACCCCTTCCCCTTTGAACTTTCCTGCAGTCACCTCTGAGCTAAATTTGGCTTCGTGGGTGATAAAAAGTGCAGTCCTGATTTAGTTTAAATGGCTTTCTGTGGGGACACTTCTGTCCCTTTGAGAGACTTGGCTACAACTTTAGTGCAATTATGGTTTTAAGTCCTATGGTCCCTGGGTGGACATCCCTGCCAACTTCCCCTTCTGCTCATTGAAAAGGAAGTGGTCCATAGATGGGTACATCTGTCCTGCACATCTTGTTGGTAAGAAATGTTTAGCTTTCTGCTTCTTTAAAGTGCTCTGATGGTGATAAAGGCAAAGATATGACATACAGGGATAGATAAAAAGAAACTTTTAATCTGCCAGATATAAACACCTGTATTTCCATCAGTGTGGCTCCCCCAAACAGCAAATAAAAACACCAGCCTTGGATTTAGAGTACTTCTTTTTTCTCTGACTCATTTTTTTTTGGGGGGGGGGGGGAAGACTTGGAATTTTGCAAGAATGTTGTTTTTGTGTTCAAGAGGTACATAGAGAGTATTTCACCAGCATTGCTTTTGTCAAAGTCACAATTAAATCTGAGAAACAGGTACATAATATTTGAATATTTCACTATCAATCCAGAATAAAAAAAAACTCTTTGCTACAGGAAACCCTGCTGACTATTAGAATGTAAAGCTCAGCTGTAAGCTTTTCATTCTGAACGTTTTTGTTATAAAAACTATATCTAATTATTTATAATCTTTCAATACCATTTCTCCATGGAAAGGGTGTACTCAGTAAGCTCCAAATCACTTATATGTATCTGTATATATGCACACACAATCACACACCCCTTTCTTAACTAGTCTGTTGTAATACTATTTTCATCTTATCGTAAAATATAATTGTGAATTGAAAAATTCACAATATTAAGTTTGTGTATCAGCAGTGGTCGTAGAATAGATACATTTTTGGATAAGCTATTTAGTTTCACTTTGCTTCATCCATAATCCAATAGTGCCTGAAATTTCCTTTAGCAAATTCCTAAAGCTTCGGAGCACTCAAACTATATCTGGATTTGGAGCCATGCTAATATGGCATCTGATTTGAACAAATAAACTAGCTGGTTTGTTGAACAAGAGTAGATCTTCTTGTGATGTTTGAGTTCTTTTTTTCTTCTACTTGCTTCTGGGCACAAGAAGATCGGGCATTTGTTTCTGAACTCAGTGTTGTACATGTCTACATTTCATAGTGTGTGGATACAATTTATGTATTATATTTTTCATCCTTATGTTTTTTCCAAAGAACTCAGAATTGTGGGAATAGCCTTTATTTCATTATTTTATCCTCGTACTGTAAAGAGAGATGTGACTGAAATATTGTGATTGGTTCAAATTAATCCAGTATTAAACTCAAAATCCCTAAAGTTTGTATCCTACTTTTAAAAGAGATATTCAGACAAGAGATTCATATTTTGGCTACAGAACTGATGAGATATATTGAAGAGTTATTGTGATTATCTATTTGGCGTGCAGACAATTGATAAATCCTTCAAATACTTTCAGTTGCCCGTAAGAAATATGCTTACATTTTTTAATTAAAAAAACAGTGTCTGTACAAAAGCTGGCATACAAAGAGGTTCTTAATTTTATCTTATTATAGCTTCTCCAGAATATACTTAACTGGTTATGATCTTGAAGGAAATAGACAAGAACCGTTCTATAAACAAAGAGGGCTGAATTTTCCTTAAGTGCTGGGAAGCAAAGTAGTATTCAGAAAAATTAAGGCAGTTCTTCCCTGATTTCATTGGAACATAAGAGGGAGAAAAAGTACGGGTAGCCCTCGTTCACCGACTGCCTTATTTAGCAACTGTTCAAAGTCACATTGATGAAAAAAATAGCTTAGTGACCAATCCTCACATTTACAGCAGGAGCATTGCAGCATCCCATAGCTATGTGATTGCCACTTGGGCTCTTTGCAACTGGCTTATGACTAAAGAGTTACTAGAGAAGGAGGAAGACTCTGTCATGTGCTTTATGACCATGGTGGTTCACAAATGGGAAGGTCTTAAGCCAGTCACAGAAACATGATTTCCCACTTAGTGACAGTGGCAGTTAAGTGACCATAGTTTCTGCTCAAACTGTAGTCACTAAGCAAGGTGATTTTATGTTTTTGATCTATTAAGGAAAATGCCTCATTGTTTGTTTGGGGCAACTGCTTCTTTGATTTAATTTATCAAGCAAGAATGAGCTTCTGTTAACTGGCTATAAGGAGTAAGGAAATGACTTTGTCAGAGATATGTGAAAAGTGTTAGCTAAGCAGAAAGGACTGAAACATTTTTTAAGTCCACAACAACCAGATAAGATTCAGAAGCATCTTAGGTAGAAGCCTCCCTAACTCATTTAACTATAAAGAGGAAGAGAAGGTACAGCACAATCAGGCTGGCAAGATTCTATGATTATCTCACTAAAAGTGCTTTTAGCCTTCTTGTGGAGTTGATTTCCTGCTCTAGTCTACCTAATGGCGCTGACACTAGTTTTCATGTTTGTTTTATTTTTAAGAATTTTTAAAAGCAAGATAATAAAAAAAAATCTATTAAAATCACTAGCATACTTTTAAAATACTGTCTCTTAAAAGCTGTACAATTACTTTATTTAGTTACGTTTTGATGAAAAATATATATCATCATAAACAGACCCTAGCTCTACATAACTAAATGATTCATTCTTGATTATACACTACAGGCTTACGATTGTGAGTTTTTTGTGAAATTTATGTTCTGAAGTTGAAAAGTATAATAAACAGAAAATATATTTTACACTGTTTCTCTTTTATTCTTGGGACAGCCAAATACCTGTGGTTGTGCCAGATTTCTGAAATTAGTATTAGCAATTAGTTAGCTTTCTCAGTTGGGAAAAAGAAGTCAAGTGTTTTGGAAAATTCGCTATGGACGTACTTATCTTTATAAGAACTTATGGTAATGTTAACATGTCAAGCTGAAAAATAGTTTGGATAGCTACTGTAGAGTATTTTAAGAGTATATTCATTATTTGTTTACAGTTTGATTCAACAGAACTTTAAAATTAAGGTGATATGGAAGAAAGAGGAGGTTCATATTTATTCAATGGTATTTACTTTGAATGATGGATTACCAATCCTTCATAAAGCATGGAGGGATGTTTGCTGTGAGATATGATTCTTGTCAAGTAAGAACAAAAGGAAAGCTCTTCATTGCCAATAAAACCAGACTTTTTTTTTCTTATGTTGGGCAGCAAGTAACCACAGTCCCAAATTATGCATATCATGTGATCAGGATCAAGAATCAAATGAGATCTTGTTGTATCTCATTTCTCTTTCTTCTTTGGTCACAGTTGGGTGATGGTACTTCAGGGTGCATGACTGTCTATTGTTCCAAAATGCATAGACCTGTTTGGCAGCCCTTTGATTAATTGAAGACAATTATTGTGTCCAGATTAAATGCTTATCTTACCGTCCTTGATTTCTTTCCTTTGGACATTTTCCACTTTACATGTATCCTTCCTAAAATGTAATGATCAAAACTTTATTCAACATGCAGTCTGAACAATGTGGAACATCAAGGAACAATGACATCTTTTAAAAACTAAAGCTTTATATTTGTTTCCAATGTTGTCTTCTGCACTAAGCACATGATGAGCTCTCGAGGGTCACAATTACAGGAAGTAGATTCCATCTGAAATTTAGGAGTAGCAGTAAGAGGTTAAACAGTGGAAGTGTGCTATTTCTCTGCTTAGGCCTTTCAAATATATCAGGTATATTTTGAGGCAGTTCAGCCCTAGCTTTCTGTAGCTTTAACAATTCTGTGCCACCTTTCAATATTATTTTGTGATTATGTATTTAATTTATATTCCAACTTCTACCCCGAGTGCATTCAGGCAGAGCAAGATGGCAGAATATCTTGCCCCTTTTAAAACATGCATTGCATTCACAACTCACAGAAAAAAGAAGAGTGTTTGGTTGCATGCTTGGAACTGCCTTCTTGATATTTTTCATATGTCCCTGCACTCCCTGTTCCAAAGATGTCTATAAGCTCAGAGAAATAATTAATATACTCAGAAAAACTACAAAACTTTAAATTCAACCTAATATGAAACTGAAAACAGAAGCTACAAATAGATACATGCAATCAAAAGTAAAATAAGACACCAGATTGGAAAAGAGGGTTTTATATATTTTAATTTTTTTAAAGGTGGGTGTTTACATACAAGCATATCATCTATCTATCTATCTATCTATCTATCTATCTATCTATCTATCTATCTATCTATCTATCTATCTATCTATCTATCTATCTATCTATCTATCTATCTATCTATCTATCCATCCATCCATCCATCCATCCATCCATCCATCTATCCATCTCTGTAAATGTATATACCCTGCAATCCAGCAGTGCTACAAAATATATGACATCTATAAATCCAGCAGCTTAAAAAACCTAAAATTATTTTAGTAAATTCATTACCTTTCAGCAGCTACAGCTATCTTGTGAAAACAGGATGTAGCATTAGCAATATCAACAGATACAAGCCATTTCATTCAACTCAAATTGATACCAGTTATCTGTAAAACCAAATGTGGAGATTAGATAATAGCACTCCCTATCCTTGACAAATAAATAGCATGTTTGTGATATCACACTACTCTCCCCAACAGTAACAGACTAATATTTTATATTTTAAAGGGGAAGAATGAATGATACATAGCAGGCACAAGTAATCGTTCCTCCTTATTTTATTTCTAAACATCTCTCAGGCCTTTTGCCTAGACAAGATAAGTATAAGAGATGTGTCATGTTTGTTTTGTTTCTAAAGATAGGCTTACAAAGATTCTTAAAATCCACATAAAAGGACATTTCAGCATACTGACCTCCAAAACTGTAGACTGAGATGTTAATATATATAATATAATGCAAAATACAAATACAAAAAGATTGTGAAAGAGTGAGACATTCAAATAAAATCCAGGTTAGAGCTCTTCTTTTGTCCTCATACTTTAGGCGCATTCAGTCCTTTAAAACATTGGTTCTCAATCTGTGTTCCGCGGTCCCCTGGGGGGGACATGATGTTGACATAGGACAGGGGTAGGCAACCTTGGCTCTTTTATGACTCGTGGACTTCAACTCCCAGAATTCCTGAGCCATGCTGGCTCAGGAATTCTGGGAGTTGAAGTCCACGAGTCATAAAAGAGCCAAGGTTGCCTACCCCTGACATAGGGGGTCTGCGAAGGCTTGAAGAAATGTTATGATTTAAATCTTGAATTAAGTCTTGGGGGTCCGTGGCCACAAAAGATATTTAACAAGGGTCCGTGGTGAGGAAAAGGTTGAGAACCCACTACTTTAAAGACATAATAAAATTAGAGCCATGTTAGCTGATGGTAGCAGAAATCAAAAGAGACACCTTACAAAAGCTTAGGTCTTTTAATAAAATGTGTTAGTCTAAAAAGGTGCTACTAGACCCCTGAGCATACTTTTGGCAAGAAAGAATGGTTGTCTAATCTCCACTGAATATCAGAAGACTATCCTGAGAAAACATGCATTAATATTCAGGGTTTTTGTCTAAAAACATCCCCCAAATAATCAAAATACCCCCAAATGATCAAATAGTAAGCAAAATATTCTATGCAAGTCTTTTGCTTGCCTCTGGGGTATGCCAAATAGTTTTTAGTGGACATACAAAGGTACTTAAATATTTCTGTAGCCAGATTACAAAATGATCTAATTGCTTTTGGTGAAATGTTTTAATAAAGTAAGAACCAAATAGTCCATTTTCTTAGCAAGTCTAAATATTTAAGAGTCTGTACCTTAAGCACATGATCCAGTATTAATTTTCATGTTCTCCTGTGTATGAGAGTATTGCCTCTTATTTGAGCAAAGAACATATATCAAATATTGTTTTATTATTGTCAGAAAATGTTTGGGAGTATGTTCTAATATGAGTAGACCCAATTGTAACTTCATTGCTATAACAGTTTATATTCAGATGGCTGGCCATATTAAGCAGGGATTTGGGTATTTCTCTCACTCTCTCTTGATTTTTATCTTGACTACCATTGCAATTAACATAATCTATGTTCTGTAGTCTATGTGTATTTATGTGTCTCAGTGCAAGAAAATCACATTTGCTCTCCAGCAATGGTAAAGCAACAGTGCACTCTTTCTCTTAAGAATGTGAGAAAAGCATTTGTTTTAATCAAGTCAAAGATATCTATAATACAAATGTTCAAGATGTTAAAGCAACCTTTTATCTCAGTGGTTCCCAAGCAAGTGGTAATTTGAATTCCACAGAGAGTGGAAAGCCCCCACGGATAGTAAGTGCCATTAGCCTTATCCCAGAATGTTACTGCATATACTATGGCAATGTGCTGCATATGTTTCATAATGATTTCTTGACCAATACTCATTTGATAATACATACAAACGTTCTTACACAAACTGTATTTCTTGCTCCCTTGTTGTTGCCTTTGTGGTTTCTGTTCCCTTTAGTGATGCAGCTATTAAAATCAGAGACTTTTCAAAATTTTCTCAGTTCCATATTGTCTCTTAAGAAACAAAGTTATTAACAGATCCTCACTGGAAGTTTCCATTCAGCTGTTATTTTCTTCATTTAATTTGTTGTTGGACATAGAACAGCCTATACTGTTCTCGAAAAAATGTTCTTGTAGGATAATATAGGTTAACCTTCTCCAACTTCATATCCTACAGTATTATCAGGATTGCAACATGCACAATTCCCAGATTAAATTTGAGGATTTGCAGTTCCATCATATCTAGAGGGCACAAAGGCAGGAAATAGATTGTAAAACAGGGACTTATCTGAAGTTGCTAAGCATTCAGATCTCTGTACTATGAGAAAATCAGAATAACGCTGAAAGCATAACTTTTTATAAATCATGAATTATCATCCATCTAAATTCAAGTGTGTCTTTAAAGTTACCAATACACTGTTGTTTTGTTCAGACAGAACGCCAAGTATTCATCTTAGAGTAGACCATACTTCTTACTTGTATGTTCACCATTCTATGGAATATCCACACCAGCAAATAACTCAACAGCCCTTTGTCAAATTCTGTTCTGTTATGAATCATTATGATAACCAAAACAACAGTATTAGAGTTCAAATATCAAATACAAAACAAGTTTCAAATACCTCTACATTTTATAGTAAAAAGGGCAATAATTTATATAGAGAGGCACCATTCTTTTGTTTTACTTTCTCTGTTCCTCTCTTTACAACTTCTCACCTTAAAAATGTGATAGTGTTACTTCTATGCCATCAACTCCCAATTCAGTTATGATAGCTACCCACAAATTGAAGACTAGTGGATCGATAGAGCTTTTCCCTACCTGATGGTTTCCAGATGTGTTGGGACTCTGCAAATTACACAAATATGGTAAGAAATTTGGGAGCTGTGATCCCAACAGATATGGAAGACATCATTTGGGGGAAGGATGATTTAGAGCAGACATGTCAAACTCGCGACGTCACGTGACGTTGCACAACGTATCAGGCCAGTATTTCCATTGCTGGCAATGGGATGGGCGTGGCTTCCGGATGATGCGTCCGGCCCGTGGGCCAGCAATTTGACACCCCTGATTTAGAGGGAAGCCTATCATGATAGTCAACCATGGTCAGATCATTAAATAATAACAAAGTGTATCTTACTACAGTGGAACATAGCATTTTGCACAGTTCTGTCAGTAATGTAAATAACTAATGAAGGCACAGGTCAAAAGGATTTTTTTTTCTTAATCAGCATCATATTATGAAACTTTAATTTGAATTCTTTTCCCCCTCTTCACAGTATCGTCAAGTAGAATTATTTTTCAGCATCTTTACTTTGATTTTAATACATAATTTCTTAATTTTTTAAAGCCAAAGCCAACTGAAACTGTCACAACTGATGAATCTGGGGTAAGATAGCAAACTAACCCCAGTGATTGTACCTCTACTTCAAGCTTATTCTTTTTATTATTCTTTACTCCAGTGGTTTTTCTGTATTTGTCCTAGAAAGATGTATGCAGTGATTTGATTTTGTTGTCAGTATACCTATCAAACCTTACTACAGACAAATTCAACTTGATCCTATTAACAATGTGGAAAGCATGGAAATGCATGTGATGAGTGAAGCATTTCTACGGATTTTGTGTACCAGCATGTAATTTTTTTCCTGTCACATCATGCTTATAAAGTTGAAAAAGACCCAGAGACATATATTCCAACCTTTCACCTTTGCATTTGTTATTGTTTGTCTTTTTCCTGAATTGTTCTGTATTCTGGCTTTTACATGATTTGATTTCTGTATAATACCCTATAGAACACTGAAGACAGTGCTAGAATCTCCATCACATTTTTCCGTCTGTTCCGAGTTATGAGATTAGTGAAGCTCCTCAGCAGGGGAGAAGGAATCCGAACTTTATTATGGACATTTATTAAGTCATTTCAGGTAGGCGTAACATTTAAAATAATTGCTTTTGTGGAGTTAAAATGCAATGTATTAGGTATTGCATGGTGATCCAGAGTGAAATATAGTATAAACAAGAGTGATGTGTGTTATCAAGAGGTTCAATATCTCTGTGTCTCTCTTTTGTTCAAATATATTTGTGTGTTTGTCTTTGTGTGTGCATGTGCTTGAGTATGCATACATAGGCATGTATATCTGTATTTGCATCATATTGACTGGAATATATAATAATTACATTATTTTATTTATTTTTAGTTATTTTTCACATTTCTGTACTGCCCAGCTTCCTCAAAGAGGGACTGGTGGTATACAATAAAATGCTAAAAAATAAAACAGTACAGTAGTGGCCAAAATTGTAGAAATCTTTTGGGAAAAGTGTACAGTAGAAATGCCACCTTTGGTTAAGTTTTCACCAATTTTTCTTCTAATTTCTTTATAACTGTAGCCTTGTTCACTTAATAATACTATTTTACATCGCTTTCTGGGCAACCAGTCAACTCTTCGCATCATTACTTTAATTTTATTACATTTTACAAGCTCACTAAATGAAAGAACACAAAAAACCCCAACCAACTTGATAGCGATCACATAACACACTGACAAATGTCCTCCTCTCAGCTTCAATACATGACATCAATAACTGAATCCTACTGTGATCTGATTGGCTCATTGCCAAAACAAGATGACATCTGATTGGCTCTCTAAACACTCATGCTCATTGGCTACAATCAGATGAAGGAAAGCTGCCTGATATCAACCTAAGCAAGTTGTGCTTCCTTTTTCTGTTTATTTGGCTATAACTTTTCATAGAATACAGTACAGATAATTGAACAAACTATGTTGCATTACATTCTTGATTAAATTATCTTTCCATTGATATATAATTTTATGGTATTACTCCAAAAAAAAGTGGTGTTATTAGCCATCAAACCTAAAAAATACACTTTCCCCAAAAGGTTCCCACAATTTTGGCCACTACTGTATATATAAAAGTTAAAAACATTTTTAAAAGTGTTAAAAGGAGACAAGAGATTAAAATTAGGCAAAAGGCAAAAGGAGGCCTTTCCGGGAACTAACCAGGCCCATGGCTGCATATTCCCCTGGGCAAACCATGTGAGGCTACAGAGCCATGTCTTAACTCCTTTTTGGAAGGCCAGGAAAGTGGGGGGCAGTCTCATCTCTGGAGAATAATAGGGGGGCAATAGCTCTTTTCCTAGAACCCACCAATCAAAATTCTTTAAATGATGGGGTCTGTAACATACCTTCCCTGCCTGATCGGGTGGGATGGGCTGATGTGATGGGATGAAGATGGCCCCATAGGTATCATGGCCCCATATCATGTAGGGCTTTAAAGATCACAACCAACCAACAAGGTTCTGATTATGGGTTTGATTATATCTGATTATATCTGAATAGTATAATAATCTACACAGCATTTAAATTGTGCCCAGTTCTTTGCAGTTCTGATTAAACATTTTTAGAATTAAACATTTTTACAAGAATTTAGTGAGGCATATTTTCTGTGTGCCTATGATTACAGACTAAGAATAATAAGCTGATTTGTAACTGTTGCTGTTATTCCAACCATGCTAATTCTTCATTCAGACTTCCTGCCATCATGTTTCTTAATTGTTCAAGAAGATGGAAATTACTAATTAAAATTATTAGTAATTTTGGAATACTAGTTTCAAAAAAATGTATTAATCATAAAGTGTAATCCTATCTACGTTCTTTTAAAATAAGATTTAAAATAAAATAAGATTCAGCTTTATGTTGAATCACCACCCCAAAACAGCAGGCGACTCTGAAGTCAGCAAATTAGTGTAATTTAGTACAACATGCTTTTATGTGTTGATAGCATTTTAAATAACTGTAGAGTTTTCCCTGCCAGTCCTTGTCTATTTATTTCCGATGAGTGGAAATTAAAAATAGAAAAATGTATAGTCCATGTGTATTAGCTTCAAAAATAGATGCAAGTTATTATTTTCAAACTTCTTTTCATTTTAGGCTCTACCATATGTTGCCCTTCTGATAGCTATGTTGTTTTTCATCTATGCGGTTATTGGAATGCAGGTAATAAAAACAAATTATTTTTTTTCCTGATGAGGAAGTATATGATGAAAGCCAGTTATTAAACATGTAGAAGAATAAACTCTGCTAAAAAATAAGGGATAGGAAATTGACAATCTCTTGCCAATCTGTGTTAGAGTATTTACCTATATAGAGAATATGCTAATTTGCTGCCAATGCTTTTATTAAGATTCCTGGCTAAACTTAGCAGTTAAAAGATAAGTTTTTTAATGCCTGGACTGAACTGGGGTCAATGCTATTTAATTCATTCACAAATGGGAAATGAGGTTTGTATATTGCAACACCTTATTCTATATAGCAAAAGCTTTCAAAGAGGCAATTACATGGCAATTGACATAATCATAGATAAACCAATGAAATAGTGATCATTAATCATAGCAACAGAAAAAAATACATATTAGGAATTAGGATTGAAAATAGCACAACTACGTAAATATAAATAGGATCTTTAAATATCACCTATTACAGAGAAGAGTTGCAGATAAATACAGTAAACATTTTGAAGGGCTAAACTAGCTGCTCTTTAACAAAGTGCTGGAATATTTGGTGGTTGGAGAAAACAAAGCACATGAGTATATATAAAAACTATAAGTAAGTCCCCAAAGGCTTCTTGGTGCATTGAAAATTTCTGCCCATTGTTTTATTTTCCATTACTTTTTCTCCATTTTCTTTCAGTTTCCTTTCCCACTTCTTACAATTACAACCGTTTCTTTCAGTAAGTCTTGCTCTGGGCCTGTTTGTCATAGCACAAAGATGCTCCACAAACCATTTTTAGAGATATTTCTTCACACTATATGCCACAACTAAACAGCTGCTTTGCTGCATTCCACTCTCATCGGAAAATCACACCATTCTAAATCTTGCTGCCTCTACAATGCATGCCCACCAGTGTAGAGAGTTTAAAAGATATCCTTGATAAAGATATGCAGGAACTATTACCTTGGCCAAAGAATTAAGTTTAGAATGTCCTAACTCTCTCAAGCTATTCTCCAAGGCGCCTGAAGGCAGGACGAGAAGCAATGGGTGGAAACTGATCAAGGAGAGAAGCAACTTAGAACTAAGGAGAAACTTCCTGACAGTTAGAACAATTAACCAGTGGAACAACCTGCCTCCAGAAGTTGTGAATGCTCCAACACTGGAAGTTTTTAAGAAGAGACTGGACAGCCATTTGTCTGAAATGGTATAGGGTTTCCTGCCTGGGCAGGGGGTTGGACTCGATGACCTCCAAGGTCCCTTCCAACTTTATTATTATTATTATTATTATTATTATTATTATTATTATTATTATTATTATTATTATTATTATTATTATTATTATTNATACAGCCCAATCAGACTTTCATAATTCTTTTATTAGTCAAGCTCAATAAAAATAATTATTGTGTGAAGCTGATTTTCTGGTCTGGTCTACCTGATGCTGTGCGTCAGAATGGGTCTGTGTTGTGCTGCTATCTATATGTTGTTAACATGCAAAATCCCGTATTAAGATTGAAATTCCAACCCAAAGGAATATACCCCATTCAGTGAAAAGCCTCTGCCAGTCGGTGACTATTCCATGCGCTCATCAATTGAATAATTAATTTTCAAAAACTTTAAAGTTATGGCTCAACTATTCATTTACAAGATAGCAGCAAACAATTAAAATTTAATGTTTTGGCTGCTTGCTAAAAAGCCAATTGGTTGACAGAAAGATGAAAGAAACAAAGCCAGCCCTATAGAGTGCTCAAACTTGAGGAGCAATATTAGAGAAGAAACTACATTCAGAGTATAACATCTTAAGCTGTTCCCTGGCTGCCTCATCTACAGTTTAAACTGAAATACAGGCAAAGACTCACCAGCCACCCATAACCAGAAGGAAGAAATGAGCGATACGGAAAGGGAGACAACAATACAGATAGAGATGATATGGCAAGGGGGCAAACAATGTTTTGGATGTTAGAGAATTAAATAAATGTGTTTAAGCTATCCAAGCATCAGTTAATTAAGAAAGATGGGGGGGGGGAGAGTCTACAGTTTTAACTGGAACATAGACCTATATAAAGACATTGACTTCTTTATATCATAGAGGGCAATCTATGTGTATATAGCTTCATTTTTGTCAGTAATAGAGTTTCATCCAATTAATTCATATTTAGAAGTCTTATTAGGTAAAATAATCCAGAATAAGGGATTAAAAACTGGAGAGTTGAGGTTTACTACCAACCTGTCTTGTAAAACCTGAGAATTATGGTTAAGGATCAATGTGTCAGTAAATTATTATTATTATTAGGATTCAAAAATAGGAAAGCTTTCATATTACAAGCATCTGACTCAATACTGCAGAAAACCAACTGTTGGTCTTATCAAAAGTGCAAAAGGTTACCATGGGTAAGCTGTTACTTCTCTTTCAGGTATTTGGCAAAGTTGCTCTGAAAGATGGCAGTCAAATTAACAGGAACAACAACTTTCAAACCTTCCCCCAGGCGGTGCTTCTTCTTTTCCGGTAGCATTTGTTTGTTATTACTGGCATAGAGTTCATAAGGATCCAGTTTGGTCTAGTGGTTAAGACACTAGGTTAGGAACCAGGACACTGTCTGTTCTAGTCACACCTTAGGCATGAAAGCCGGCTAGGTGATTTTGGGCCAGTCACTTTCTCAGCCCATAACATCAGGCTAGGGCAGTGGTTCTCAACCTTTTTAATGCCGCGACCCCAACCAGTGGTAAGTCGAGGACTAAACCGGTCGTAAGTCGAGGACTAAACTGGTTGTAAGTCGAGGACTACCCAACCGGTCGTAAGTCGAGGACTTTCCCTGCCCGGGAGCGCCGCACATGCATGGTTCCGCCCCCTGCACCGGCCGAGGCGTAGCTGGCAAGCGGCAGAGACGGAGCAGGCCGACCACCAGCTGGCCCAGCCCAAGGGAGGTAAGGCACCCGCCGGAAAAGGGGGAAAAATGGCGGACAAAAAAATGGCGGACAGCCTTGCTTGGCGACCCCCGTGAAATGGTTGATCAACCCCAAATGGGGTCCCGTCCCACAGGTTGAGAACCACTGGGCTAGGGCAATAAACCAGTTGGTCAATTCCTGTTGCAGCCAAATGGATCAACCTTTGATTGACCTGAAAAAAGTGTACCTTGAACTTGCGGAAAAACTCTAGGAAGAAAAAAAATATAGAGTTCAAAAATATGTAGAATGGTTTTGTGGTAGGTTGTGATAAAACTCTTTATTTTTTCTTTATTAAATTTCTTTATAAGAAATTAATCTTCTGTTCCTTCAACCGTGCAGATAATACATAGGTCATAAACAAGTAAAATATTTCATGTACCTTAATCTAAGATGGGACATACTTTTGCTGGAATTTTGAGTATTCCACATATATTTAATCTGCTAATAAATTAAAAGTGATAGTGAAGAAGCTAGAATGTAAGAAATGCCAGATTCTTGTTTGTGCTTTATCATTTGGAGATTTTTAATGAGATACGATTTTCAGACCTTCAATGCTTTACTTAAAAAGAAATGAAAATATTCACTTTAATTTCTACCACATTATAGACAGCTTGAAACAGTTGTCCTGTTTGATATTTTTCAGAAAGCAAAAAAAGCCACTTCATGAGCCATTTCATATTTTATGTAGTCATCAGTAGCTAACAGAAAAAGAGAAAGGACTGCAGGAAATACCCTACAGTGACTTTCAATTGAAATGTTGATTGTCAAAGATAAATGTGGAAATGTGTAATTGAATATGAGTAGAAATTACATATGAGAGCTAAAAGGCAATTTAGGTAGCCTAATCATGTGCTGTCACATATCATCCCTTACTGCCTCAAATAACATGATGGTATAGTTAAACAACTCTGTGTTAAAATTATACATTCAGTAGCTTCTGTATCTCTGTCCTGTCCAATGGGGTTGCAAGGAACAAGATCAACAAATTAAAAGCTGGGACATTCATAGGAAAAGCAGGGAGGAAAGCCCCATCCAGGAACCAGAAAGTGCAGAGGTAGCACCATTGCAATTAGACAATATATAGTACAAGCTAGTTAACCAGCAGACTAAATTCAGACTAAGAAAATTTGGTCAGAGTTTGTCTACACAGGTATCAAGGTACATAGGTTGTGGGGGAATGACTATGAATGGCATAGGAAAGTAAATGATGAAACCTATATTTTGACTATACAACAAAACCATGTGATTTAAATTATATGCACTCAGTTTTGGGATGCAAATACTAAAGGCCAGGGTGCACATTTCATAATTTGTTTCATCAACACGGTTTGTCCCAGATGCCTGTACAAAGGAAGACTGTAGCTAATACTCTCTTAAAATTATTGGTTTTGTCTATTTTTAAAAAATAATATGGTTATCTGTCTTGTACATGAATTCTGGGTAGCTGACAACAATCAACAAAAGCAATAGAATAAAATACAGTATCAGACTCAACAACACAAACCACACTTACATGGGCTGCCTGGAAAGTTATATTTTTTCTTCAAAATCTCGAGGGGGGGAATCAAGTCTTCCCAGTCTTCTGGAAGGCTGGGAGGGTGGGAACTGAGCAGGACGCATGGGGGAGACTGCTTCATAGGTAGGTGCCATGACAGAAAGGCACAGTTGGTCCTTGGTCTAACAAGATGGTATTATTTAATAGAATTTGCCCTGTCAAATTTAGTGGGGAACAACAGAGATGATCCTGGAAAAACTGTTCAGAGATGGCTACAACATGTGCAAAAACATGCTTTAACGAATGAAGGCGAATATACACGTCCCAGGATAATGTTGCAGGATCCAATCTGGGTCGGTCACCGGGACCTCAGAGGTTTCGTCTTCTGAGCTTTTGGACTCATGCTGGAGCCCTGAAGATGAGCTCCAGCAGGGGTCCGAAAGCTCGGAAGACAAAACTCCGGTGACCGACCCAGATTGGATTCTACAAACATTCTTTAAGCTTGTGAAACAAGGAAAACATTAGGAAGAGACCTGGCCTGATTCTACCCTGACTACCTGAAGTATAAGAGGGATGGAGAACTAGGATACCTCCTGCACTGATTGTGCCATTTTCAATGGTTGCCTAATAATACAGTGAAATAGGAGTTCTGTATGTTTTTGAATTTCTGGGCAACTTATTTATTTAATCCCTAAATTCATGAGGGGTTTAGGGGTTACATGAACAAGCAGCCCAAGAATAAAAAAACATACAGAACTCCTATTACACTGTATCATTAGGCAACAATTGAGAATAACTACAAAAAAATCCAGCATAGTACGTTAATACTGATAAAATCAATGTGTTTATGCTTTCAAGATTTTAATGGTAACAGTACATAAAGCTTTAATATATTTTTTTAAATAAACAACATAGCATGTTATCTCTTTACCGTGCACTCACTCACATTGTCTGGGACCATTATTAGGCAACAACAATAATAATGTTATGCTAGAAGAAACAATATTATTTGCCTTATTTTATCTTCCTTTATTCCATATTAAAGGTGTGCCACAGGAGAAGCTTGGCAAGATATCATGCTAGCTTGCATGCCAGGAAAAAGTTGTGACCCAGATTCTGATCAGAATCCTGGAGAAGAATATACATGTGGAAGCAATTTTGCTATTATTTATTTCATCAGTTTCTATATGTTATGTGCTTTTTTGGTGAGTCTAGAAAGTAAAATTTGAATGGCTAAAATTTGAGCAGACAAATGTACTGAAGATTAATTCTATTAATTCACAAAGCATTAGTTTAGTTTAGTTTAGTTTAGTTTGGTTTAGTTTAGTTTAGTTTAGTTTATAGTTTCCTTTCCTTATTGCTGTTACTTATGTGGTGCTCCACTTTCAAAGACTTTGAATGCTTGCAGTATTAATATCAGATGAAAACCAAAATTGAGTTAATCTAATTATTATCTATCAGTACAATGTATCCTGTTCAAGATAACATGCTCTTATTTTTCCTCAAAAGGCTTTCTGAAGGGAATGGATTTTATGGCTTTCCAAAAATATAGTAAAGAGAGGGTGTTATAAATATTTGGGGGTAAGATGTGTGTCCCAAAGGAGGGGGCGATCAATGAAAAGAATCCCTGAAGAGGACATCTCCTCACTGGTGGGTCTATCAGCAAGCCCTCTATTTTTGATCTTAGTGGACAAGCCGACTTAATTTGGAGAAAGCAATATAAATGTATCCAGGCCCTGAGCTAAACAAGGAGTAAGGATAACAACCAAACTTTGAATTGTATTTAGAAGCTAACTGGCAGTCAGTGAAGCTCCTATACTAGAAGCTAGGTTACACGAGCAAAGCTCTTTGCATACATAACTACTCAAGCTGGTGTATGTTGCAGTTTAAATGTCTGGATAGTCTTTGGGACAGTCCCATATAGAACACTGCAGCAATCCATCTTCAAGATACTAAAGGTATGAATGACTAAGAAGAAAGTCTCTTGATCCAGAAAGGATCACAACTGAAGCAAAGCAATCAATATAATAATGGTTGTACAAAGGCATTTGTGTCTACAGCCTCTACTTACTATTCCAGGGGTCTTCAAACTTGGCCCTTTTATGACTTGTGGACTTCAACTCCCAGAATTCCTCAGCCAGCGTTGAAGTCCACAAGTCATAAAAGGGCCAAGTTTGAAGTCCCCTGTACTATTCAATCAAGAATCATGAGTTCAAGAGGATTCCCAAGTTATGGGCCATATCCATTTGCAGCAGTATCTTTTCCAGAATGAAATATGTACTATTTCTGGACTCAACCCAATTCTATTTTAATAGGTTTTAGTGAAATCCCATTTCTAGACTCAGATAGCCTCCAGACACTGAGTAGGACTTCCAACACATCACTTACATTACTCATGGTGGAAATATAATTGGATTGGACATCAGCAGCATATTGAAACCTTACCTCATGCCAGCAGATGATCTATCTCAGTGGCTTTGCATGGTAGTGGGGAGAGCAAGTCTCATAGCTGTCCATAATGGAGCACTTGAGCTCCTCCTATTGACTGGAGATTACTACTTAAAAATGGAAGAACCATTGAAGAACGGTGCCTTCCTCCCTTTTCTTTGTAGTCAGTCCAGGACATCTTAGTCCATGGTATCAAGAGCCACTAACAGTTTCAGAAGGATAGTCTCTCTCTCTCTCTCTCTTGTCAAAAACATCGTGAGTTATTAATATAGTTTTGATCCTACAGCCAGGCCTGAATCCTGACCGGAAAGGATTTAGATAATCCATTTCATCCCAGAGTCCCTTAACTACAATTCAATCATCTTCTGCTAAAAACAGATCAATTATTGTCTAAAATGGCCATGTCAAGAGGTGGTTTCTAGAGGAAAGATGGTGGTACCACCTCTTCACTCATGGATACATTGGTCATCACTCACTCTCAACTTTCTGCCCTGGCAGCTTTTACCAACCAGGTAGACTAAGGATTTAATCTATAAAGAGTGGATCTAATAGCACAGAGGAGCTTGTGTACATCCTCATCCACAGGCTTAAATGAATTCCAAATTATAAAAGGATATCTCTTGTCATCTCATCTGGATTTGCCTAGCTGGTGTCCAACCACAAACAAATGTGTGATTTTATCCTCAAAATTTACTGCAACAGCCAAATTTTCTCTTAGAGTGACTGGGTCACTCTAATGCTGCTAGACATCCAGTCTTGTTGCTTTACCACTCTTGTTGCTATTGTTAAGCTCAAACCTGAGCTCTTTCTCATGTTGGGTCACATTCATTCTTCCTCTTATAGCAGCGTTACTCTTGGCATGCCTTTGCTTCATCTCTTGGAAGTCCTCAATAAACCAAGAAGTTGCCATGAGTCAGCAACTAGATGGAGCCTGCTCAGGAGCAATCTTGTCAAGTATCACCATCTTTCTCTTTTCTAGAGGTTTACTAGGCACTTGACAGAACTGCCTACCAGGGCTTTGAAAAATTCTCTAGGTGCTTTTAGAAACCGCAAAATCCAATTAGATTTCTAAAGTGAACTTGATAAAACAGATCTTTTCTCCCCACAAAAATCTATAGTGGCAATTAACTCTCTAGAAACTAGAAAGTAACCTAACCAAGTAAGTTCCATTACTTTGTTATTTAATCCTATATTTTATTGTCAAAGTCTAATCAAATAATACGCTGGTATCAATAAGTAATGTAAACATTCATGTGTTGTACATGAATAATATATGCAATAACACAAGGAGACAATATCAGGTTCAATGTATATTATGTCCATATCTCTATTGTTTTCCTCCAAATATTTTCTTCTAATCACATTCTGACTAATGGAAACACATTTCTTGCCTTGATATGAATGTGTTCAGTAATATTACACTTGCTCAATGTAGCATTTCCTTTAATAGTCTACTTCAGTGGTGGCAAACCTATGGCACTCAGAGCCCTCTCTGTTGGCACACGCGCCACCACCAGGTCCATCAGGCCACCACTGGAGCAGGAGCCTCACCAACCATTGTCGATTGATGGACTGGAAGAAAAGGAAGGGGGAAGCATTTTACATGCATGCATGTGGGCATGGGGCCGCAAGCAGGCATGCGCTGCAAATGGGGCAGGGGTAGTGCCTGCGTGATACTCACTAGCCCTGCCCCATTCTTGCATGGTACAGTGTCGTGTATCTGCACCCTGCGGCGCGGCAGTGGCCATTTTTGCGCCTTGCTACACGGTGGCCCATTTTTGCGCCCCCAGTTTTTGCGTGCCAGAGGCAGCACTCAGAGGCCCCTCCCTGCCCCCCCCGAGGGCACCACAATGCTGATGTGGCCTGGGCACTTTGTGATAAATAAGTGGGTTTTGGGTTGCGGTTTGGGCACTCGGTCTCTAAAAGGTTCGCCATCACTGGTCTACTTCTTGCTTTCACTGTTGTTGCAGTTTCTATTATAAAATGTTTGCCACAGTTAACATTTTAAATCACCAGAGTTGATATAACATTTCCAATTTCACTGGAAGCTGACATTCTAGTATATTTATGAACATCTTACATTAACTCTAATCTTCAAAGCCATAAATAGTATGAGACCAAAGCCATTTTAAGGTTAGCTTTCACTTATAGGAATCTGCCAACCTTTGCCTTAATAATCCTTCCACTTGCTATCTAAAGAATGGAAGGTGTACATAAAGAACAAGGCTTTCCCATGGAACATTGTGCCAAAAAGAGCAAAAAACATAATCTTGTATTCATTCTACTCTGAAGCAATTTACAGCCAAATAAATGCAGGCAATTAAATTTACAGGCAAGTTTATAGACCTCATTTTTAGCAAGCATTTATATCTGTCTAAGGTATAAGATAGATATGGAGAGCCAGTTTGATCTAGTGGTTAGGGCTTCAGGATAGAAAACAGGACTGTAAGTTCTAGTCCTGCCATAGGTACAAACCAGCTGGGTGACGTTTGGCCAGTTGCTCACTCAGACCTAGGAAGCAGACAATGGCAAACCACTTTTAAAATCTTGCCAAGAAAATTCCAAGGACTTGTCTTAAAAAAGATATATTTATTTCAGAGCCCAAGTTTAATTTAACAAATGCTGGAATTGAGTATGTCTAGTTTAACGAAGAGAAGGATGAGGGGGACATGATACCAGTGTTCCAATATCTCAGGGGCTGCCACAAAGTAGAGGGAGTCAAGCTATTCTCCAAAGTGCCTGAAGGCAGGACAAGAAGCAACGGGTGGAAACTAATCAAGGAGAGAAGCAATCTAGAACTAAGGAGAAACTTCCTGACAGTTAGAACAATTAACCAGTGGAACAACCTGCCTCCAGAAGCGGTGAATGCTCCAACACTGGAAGTTTTTAAGAAGAGACTGGACAGCCATTTGCCTGAAATGGTATAGGGTTTCCTGCCTGAGCAGGGGGTTAGACTAGATGACCTCCAAGGTCCCTTCCAACTTTATTATTATTATTATAAATAAACAAAACTTTCAATGTTTTTCTGATTGCTACCTGAGCTATATGCTAATATTGTCTTCCATTGTTTTTAAGATTATCAATCTTTTTGTGGCTGTCATCATGGACAACTTTGATTATCTGACACGTGATTGGTCTATCCTTGGTCCACATCATCTGGATGAATTTAAAAGAATATGGTCAGAATATGATCCTGAAGCAAAGTAAGTTACACTCATGACTACAATATGTCCCCATCAAAAAGGGTAAAAAACAAAACAATGCCTAATGTAAGTCAGCTAGAGCTATTTAATTTTTTTCCTGAATTTTCTTTGTAGAGGGAGAATAAAACACCTTGATGTTGTTACTTTATTGCGACGCATCCAGCCTCCCCTTGGTTTTGGGAAGTTATGTCCTCACAGAGTAGCCTGCAAGGTAAGCTGGGGTCATTGATTCTTTAAAAACGTCTACATAATTCACGTTTCTAGAGAAGGGATACCTGTATATTCATTGCAAGTCAATTCTCCCTTGTTAATTATTAGCTTTTTCTCTAGGCTCTGTTATATATTATTACAAAAATAATACCACTTCTTTCTTTTGTTCTGGTTCATTGATATGGAGCAGTATTTGGTTGGTAGTAAAAGGAAGTTTTGGAGAATTCAGGAATAGTCAAGATTTTTATAAATTGCCTATTCACAGTTATGAAAGAAAATAAAGAAGTCCCATATACATCAAAAGGTCCCTGTAATTAAAGCAAGAAGATTGATGGTTCTTAGTTTTAAAAAAATACATGACATGGATTTTGCTCTTGAGATCACTGGGCTCGTGTGACTCATGTAACTCGCAACTAGAACTAAAAGGCTAATTGAGATCCTTTGATCAAAAACGGTTGCCTACCAATGTAGAATATAAGCAGGAAAAGCACAATAGATTCTGGTTGTGTGGAAGTTTTCATGTTTATACTGAAGTTGTATATACAAACACCATCTTGTCTTCAGCAGATTAGCAGTGTTGTGGTAATGCCTAGACATAGCTTAATATTTGTACTAAGTAGTAAGTAATTGAATCAGAGCATAAAACTAGCATTCTACTATTAATTGAGATTAGCAAATGCCTCTAAATTGCCCATGAGGAGAGTATGATGGAAAGGATCATCCAGTTTTCTTTGGTAAATAAAATAGCTATAGTTATTTTAAAAAAACAAGTCTCATTTCAGAATAATGGAAGTTTCAAAAATATCTAGAATCTTTATCCACATAAATTACTTTTTATTCTTCTTGCAGCTATAAATATTTACCACTGATTTTATGAGAGAACTAAACAACTATGAAGTTATCAAATAAAAAGGAATGAAACTTTATAGTAATTATGATATGCTCATCCCAAATATTTATCTTCTTCCATTAATGTATAAAGTATATTTGGTATAAATTGTTTTACATGTTAATTATAAAGCAGACTTACTTACAGAACTCTTGTGTCAGGCAGAATTTCCTCTATTTTGTAAGATATCCCTGTAGTATTCAGCTCATAACATCTATGAGTAATAATAACCACTTGACTATGATATGTCCTTCTATGCATTTTTAGATTAATTTCCTGTGTATATACTAAACATTTGATAAACACATACTAAACCTCCTTTGTGTCTATTTATTTTTTTAAATATCTGCAGAGGTTGGTAGCCATGAACATGCCCCTAAACAGTGATGGAACAGTTATGTTTAATGCTACTCTATTTGCTTTAGTAAGAACAGCCTTGAAGATCAAAACTGAAGGTAGGAGCCTACAATAAATATTTCAATCATTCTTTATTTCTCCTTATCAAATAATTAGTACTGATCTTTGATATATGTGATGGCCACCCTGGAGACTTTCTAAATGTAAACTGTTGCATATATGGTTTTCTGTAAAAAATACTATAGCTATGTTTGTAGCCCCAAATCTCAGTTTTTTGTGGGACAATAGTTTCCTTTACTGACAAATAGAATAAGTGGTGGAGATCAGTTGCACTTTGAACTTGGTATAGACTGGTCTTGATTTCTCAAAATCTCTGGTCTTCAAAAAATTATACATAATACTTTGTTGCCAAAGTAACATGCTATCAGAAAATATATTTCATCATATATGAAATTCATTGGTATCAGCACCTTCTTTATTTTGTACATTTGCTTCAATTTGGTATCTGCAGATTAGAGGACCAATTATTCATAACCATTGTTTTCCTTTTGACAGATGCTTCAGTACATCCAGGGAATTTACTATCAGGAGATAAAGTTTTGCATATGGCCAGTACATCAGATGGCTTTTTGAACTGCTCTATATTTTTAAAATATAAATTTGTTTTACAATGATGGCGTTTCATGAAAAGTCTTCCTTGTTTATCCTACTTGTTCATTGAAATGGCTGTCGGCACTACTAATGTTGGTGTCTGTCAATTTCCTTCTGGATCCTAGCCAATATTCCTTCTGTGCTGATTGCTGAAGGATCTGTGGAACCAGTTATCACCCTCCAAATCAGGCTTGTGAGCTTCTCAAATGTATCCAAGGGACCACTGTGTTTGTTTTCCCTAGTCATTACCTTCCCTTGCCACGAAAACAGCAGCAATGAGGAGGTATTCCTGAAACAGTGCAAACCAGATAGGAACCACTTCAAAATCTATTAATCCAATCTGCCAGACTTGCTGTGGGAGAATATTACAAAGATACCGGAAGTGATAGGCCTTCTTTTGAATCTGTATCTCTTGAATCTTAAGGCAGTCAGATTTGTCTACATGAAGTTGTCCCAAAGCAAAAGCAGAGTAAGCTAGTGTCAAAGCTATTGACCTTTTGGAAACTTCATTTAACTTTGGCTTAGCTGTAGAGATCCAAACCACGTGCAAAAATATTGACATTTTGCTGTTTAGTTACATGTTAATATATGTAATTCCTTCCTTCCTTCCTTCCCATTCTCCTCAGGTAATCTAGAGCAAGCAAATGAAGAACTCAGGGCAGTTATAAAGAAAATCTGGAAGAAAACTAGTATGAAACTCCTGGACCAAGTTGTTCCTCCTGCTGGTGGTTAGTAACATGATTTCTCATAGCTTCTACACTTTAAATACAAGACACAGAAAAATACTATAACAATTCAACCAGAATGCTAATATTAACTAAGTGATAAGATAGCAAAGTTTTACAGAAAAACACATAACATAGCATTCTGGAATAAAGAATTTAAACATTTCTTTATACATAAACATTTCAATTTATAGGCTTCAGAATAATGATGTGCTAATAAGAAGCTCTTATTATCTCTAGTAATGCATTTAAATTTGAAACAGTCTAAAATTTGTGAGCTATTCTTTCTTTTATTTTCCTTCAACACTCTTAGCCCAAAATTTAAGAAAATAATTAATCAAGAGTAAGTAATTTTATTAAGAAACACGGAGTAAACAATCTGCTAATGTTAGTATATTAGCTAGAACTATGTAACTAGGAAAGTTATCATTGATTTAAATGCATCTAAGTTAAATGCAAATGCAAATATATTAATGATATATGGACAGTTATATACTTGTTGATAAATACAGTGATAAAGCGTTGATTGCAGGTGATGTTCTGATTTGCTTTTTTCATTTTAAAAGTGCAGGATCTCTTGCATAGTTAGAAAACATCTCAGGCTGCTGTCAGACATCCAAGACACCCAGCTATTGGAGTTCATCTTCTAAAATCTTTATAGTTCACTGTACTTCTTTAGTATTATTGCACCCTTCAAGATCACTCTGGTTTAGGTTTGAAAAATGACTTACTCCTGAAGGTACTGAATTCTGTCCTCTCTCCAAAGATGTTCTCCTTAGTATTTCAGGAGAGAGAGAGAGAAAGACAAAGAGAGAGAGAGCATGTTTAGCTGTCCTACTTTTCAGAAGCCCCTGGCAACTGACAACTTAGATTCAGGGTGGGATGGGACAATGCCAAGCAATGCCAACTGTCCAGAAAACAGATACTGCACATTTAAAATGACATTTCTGTGTCCCCTTCTGCTTTTTTCTAGCCGCACAGCTGATTTCTTGCATGGTCTAGATGAGTTTGCTTTTGTTGTAACAATGTGCTTGAGCTTTTTCTGCAGCCTCTATTCCTTTCAACTATCAGTCTTTTCAGAATATTCTGAAGCAATTCTGTTTTAGGGTGGTGGCATGGAATCAGTGTTGCCTCTGGCCAGCTTCATTCCCCTCTTTTTATTGAAATACAGAGACATGCTTCAGAATAGCAAGCCATGGCTGTCTAAACTGAGCATGGAAGAGCCTTTTACTGAGTACGTGATTCAGACCTAACACATAAAGCAGGCCTTCTATAAAGTGGAGTTTGGAGAGTTCAGCACAATTGCATCACTGTGTACAAGATGACATCAATGTATTGTGACAAGATAAATGACTGAACCTGCCTAAAGCAAAGGCACAACAGTTGTCATTAAAATGCAGGAAACAGAAGACTGCCAAATTTTGGTGCAACAGTAAATTCACAAGCACAGAGAAATCTTTACAGAGTATAGGCAACATGAAAAAGGAAAGGATGTTATAATAATCCGGGAATATGAAATAAAAATAAACCTATAGAAAAGCAAGCGTGCAGATTCTCACAAGACTGAAATAGGTTCAAGATTATATAGCTTCAGTTTAAGCAATGTCATAATTTGAAGAAAACTTTGTAAATTATACTGGCTTATATTTCAGATCAGATCAATGGATTAGAATGAAAATAGGTGTATGTAGGACATATATTGGACAGACCAAAGTTTTATCTATGTTAAGTTAGGTCACATTATTTCATTAGTTTCAATATGCTTTACCTCTCTCATACAAGATCTAAACAGACTAAATGTTACAGTCATTTCACCCTCTCTCAATAATAAGCACAGTTACGGAACAAGAAAGTATTAGATAGTTTTAGATACTATTAGCATTAAGTCCACTAATTTTCTTAATTTATTAATACTTCGAAAGAGACTAAAAGTGATTTGAATATCAAATGTCACGTTACATTGCAAAAATGTAATTCAAAATGAATGATGATGGGGGGAAAACCCACTAGAAGCCATTGCTCTGTTTTATTCCAAGGTTTCCTTTAATGCCCCTATTAACTCTTTTCCAAGCACACAGACACTTATCTAATATTCATTTTTTTCTTCCCTACTTGTTTTGTTGAAATCCATTCCCTTTTAATATTTTTCATGTTGATATCAGCTCTGTTTCTTCTATGCCCACTAAGAAAGGGTCCATGTTTGGTCTGTAAAATATGCTCTACATCTGTCCCCTTTGCATATTCTGCTGTTCTACTACAAGCAAGAAATTGCAAGTAAAGGCGGGTGAATGTGCAAATATGGATTTGTGAATACCCACTTTCAAACATGCGTATACATAAAAAAATGTATATTCTGAAAGGCCAAGCTTAAGGCATGTTTGTCTACTATAGCGTATAAAGTATTTTGTCCCATTTAGTTTATTTCTTAGTCCTCTGAAATCCATTTTAAAGAGCATTTCCTTATTAAAATTAATATTTTGAGAATTTTTTAAGAAGGAGCTTTGTCATAAGCTCATAATTATCTCAATATTATTTTTACTATTTGTATCCCACCTACATTATTTTTTACAAATAATTCAAAGCAGCAAACATAACCAACATGCCTTCTGTCTATTTTCCTCACAAGAACAACCCTGTCAGGTGGGTTGGGCTGAGATACTGTGTTTCCCTGAAAGTAAGGCCTACCCTGAAAATAAGCCTTAGCTTTATTGGGGGGGGGTCTAATATAAGCCCTACCCTCAAAATAAGCCCTAGTTTTGGGACGAGGCACACACTTAAAAATCAAGCTAGGGCAGGGGGTGGGAGTGTGGAGCTGCCCCCGTGCCCCGTCCCGCACCCACTTACCTGTCAGCCAGGCCTCTCCTCGCTGGCCCACTTCTTCTGAGGCGTCTTCTGCAGCAAGGCCTGCATTTCAGTCAGAGGCCTTTCCAGAACACCTGTGCAGCCAAGAACCGAGCTATGGATTGAATCCATAGCTCGATACTCGGCTGCAGAGGCCTTCTGGAAAGGCCTGACTGGGAAATTGCAGGCTGGAATGCAGCTACAGAATGAAGCTGCTCCTTTGGCCCAAAAGAAGTGGACCTGCTGGGCAGGGCTGTTGGTGCCAGAGGTGAGTAAGACATCTCCCGAAAATAAGACCTGGTGCCTCTTTTGGAGGCAAAAATAATAATGAGACCCAGTCTTATTTTTGGGGAAACATGGTAGAGTGACTGGCCCAAAGTGACTTTCATGGCTGAGGTGGTACTTAAATTCACAGTCTCCTGCTTTCTAACCTGGTTCCTTAACTACTACCAATATCAGATCTGTGTGCAGATTTCTTTTTTTTATTACTTTTATGACATCCAAATTTTAGCACTACCTTTTATTCAAAGATAGTCATTAAGATCTGTACTTCGTCCTTTGACATATTAGATTAATATAGGCATCACTGACCAAGGCAGAATATACAGGCAGTTGGCCTAATCCAGGGGTAGGCATTCTTGGCTCTTTTATGACTCGTGGACTTCAACTCCCAGAATTCCTGAGGCAGCTATGCTGGCTCAGGAATTCTGGGAGTTGAAGTCCATGAGTCATAAAAGAGCCAAGGTTGCCTACCCCTGGCCTAATCAAAGAATCCAATTCTTATCATGAATTCCTTTTGCAGTAGGGTCAAAATGCATGTCACTATTGCATGATTTTCCATTGAACTAAATTCTAAAGGATTCTGTTTATATGGACAGAGGAACATTCAGTGTAATTATTCTGTGGCCATTTTAGTGATATAAAAGAATAGTTAATTCAATAGATTCTCAATGAGAATCTATTTTAAGAAAATAGATTTTTTTAAGAAAATGGTTTCCAAGGCAGATTACACCAGGTGTTCTCATGGTTTTGAAATATAGTTAACTAACCATGATGATTTAAAGAAAAAAATTACCTGACTTTGAATTGCTAGGACTTCTAAGTTTGCATTGTCGCAAATGAAGGTTGATGAGGAGCTTTTCAAAAGACATTTTGTCACATGATAAGATCAGGCTCAACAATGCTATTTAAAAGTCAGCATGAAAGTAGACTGGACTCCCAACCAAGCAACGTTAAATATTAAATTTTGTTTGTTTAAGAACTCTTCTAAAGGAGCATAATATAAAATACATTATCAAATATGGACTTGCTTTATATGTAGTATTATTAATCTAACCAGAATAATAACATTATTTTAGGAAGGCATTTAAGACCACCTTGCAATGAAATTCTTTGTAATTGTCCATAATGTAAAAAGTAAAATGGATGATTTTTTAAAAAATCTCTCTTTTCTGTAATCAGAATTAGATATGGTAGTGAAATAAAAGTTAATAATATAACACCAATAATCTAAAACAATTGCTAACAGTTTTCAGAAAAACTACCCCCTTTATGCCTTCGAATCACCACCAAAGTGTGGAGAGCCATCCAGAGGAGATCTGGAACTTGTTAGTGAGGAATAAGAGTAGAGCAATGGGAATCTCTCATTGTGAGTCAAGTGTAGGAGTTAACTTGTTCCTGAAATGATCACTCATGAGTTATATCTGTGCTTTTAATGATAATAATGCTGTTCAACATATCCAGTTATTGGATATGCCAAAATTCTTTCATACTTATTCTATTGTAAAATCTTCTTAAAGACCCTATCAGGTAAAGCTTCCAGTATAAGGAGATCAATTTAAGATGATAGCATTTGCCCGAAAGTCTGATTTCTAATATCTGTCACTTTATTTTATATTAGTATAATTTGCTGAGTATTTTCACTGAGAGAAAACCTACATAGCACCTTAATGGTTTAGAAAGTTAGGTGAATAAGAATAACTGGACATGTTTGAATTTGTTATAAAAATAAGTTCCTTTTATCAATAATATCAAGCTACATGCAACCCCCATAAAACTTTGATAGTGAAATTACTCTATTTTGACATGGAGGGAAAATTATTAAGTATATGAGAAATTGTCAGTTCAGCTCTTTAATTAAACTTAGATTTTTACCCTCTCCAACATGCAGCTCTTGTCTAAAAAATTGCACATCCCTCCTTTAAAAGGACTGAATCCAAATAAACCTGAGAATTTCCTAGGCTGCTCTTATTGTAGTAATTTGGTTCAAGAGGATGAAAGTATTTCAGATCCATGTAACTATCAGCCTCTTAAAAGAACTGCTTTCTCTTTGAATTCTACTAAAATAATTTATTTTCCTTTCATAAGACATAGTTCACTTATCTGCTTCTACTGCTTAGCCTAGTTTGCCTGTTAAACATTGCTTTATGCTAGATTCAGGTTGCCTTGTTATAAGCCAGAACCCTAATGCACAGAGCACTAATCACACCTTTTTACTCACTTGGATAAAGAATATATATTGGCTTTTAATGAAATGCGCTGAGGTGGGAGACATCTCTCTGGTCTGTTCATTTAGATGATGAGGTAACCGTGGGGAAGTTCTATGCCACCTTTCTGATACAGGACTACTTTAGGAAATTCAAGAAACGGAAAGAACAAGGACTGGTGGGAAAATACCCTGCAAAGAACACCACCGTTGCATTACAGGTGACTTTGTTTTCCTACACTTTAACTAACCATCTTGCAAGTTTATTAATAACCACAGGTAAAGGGCTGTAGATGCAGTCAGCAAGGCCACAAGGACTGTTCTTTGTAATGATGCCTGGGGCCCTTCAACATTAAGAAGAGTAATCTTATTTTTCTGTGTGTTGAAAGGTAAGTGAAGAATATTTTATAGAAGCCGCAGCAGATAGGACGAAGGTAGGTTTTATGTTTTTAAGATACAGATATTAAGATGCCGATCTCCATAACATCATGTATGATAGTCAGGTTCCACATGAATTTAAGTGGTATGTGACCTTTCTATATGAACTCTCTTCTGCATATATCTCAGAAGAACCAGAAATCTACATTGACACTAGGAATAAAGAAGCTTGAACGTGTTCCTTGAGGGAAAACAGAGACCTCCAAATACTGTGAATGTACATGGAATTATCATACTTATTTTCATCTGCACTCCTTCCTAAACAGCAATATAATAGCTACATTATAAGAGGTTGGAAGAAAGCATCCCATTAATTAAATCCACATGGACATAATCCTGTATGTTCTAAGAACAGATGAGTATGGTTGTATAGAAGCATTAATAAATCTGAGCAGGGGTTTTTCTGTTTACATACATCCCTCCACCAATGTGTGAAGTTTATGGGCATGATCATTCAGTGGAAAAAGCTGCCCTGCACTTATCCCATTCCCATTTGTTGAAAGATAAGGACATAAAAAGAACTCATTGTGAAGCATTATTTGACAAAGGAGATAAAACTTTGTTTCAAGTTCTGCTAGAAGCCCTACCCTTGGCCAGAATGAGGAAGCCTCCTCAGGAAGCAAATCCCAGGAGGCAATAGTGAAATATCAGATTGTGTAAGGAAGTTTGCCCTGCAGTTCATAAGATAGCCTGCTATCCTTAAAGAAGATGGCAGATTCTAGTTCAGCGGTTCTCAACCTATGGGTCGCGACCCTTTTGGGGGTCGAACGACCCTTTCACAGGGGTCGCCTAAGACCATCGGAAAACACATATTTCCGATGGTCTTAGGAAAGACCAAAGGCCAAAGCTGCCGCCGCCGCCTCAGGAATGCGCGGTGGACGAGCCAAGGAAAGGAACTGAATGAGGAGAGGGGGCGTGTCTGTCTGCGTGTTTGTGTGTGTGTTTGTGTAGAGTCGTTATTTTCAACTCCAAATATTACGAAGAAAAAAAAGGTTGACGTGAATAAAATGTGGTGGAAGACAAGCGCTCTGTGTGTGTGTGCGCGCGCGCGATGTTAATCATATTCTTTCCCTTGTCACGCGCCTTGAGCCGCCCGAGAGGCACACGTCCCACTGGCAAGGTTCAGAGGAAGCGCCAGGATCAGCTCCCCTTTCTGCCTGATCTGTGCTTCTCCGAGGCTGGGAGAGCTCAGGAGAAATGCCAGATCAGCTCCCCTTTCTGCCTGATCTGTGCTTCTCCGAGGCTGGGAGAGCTCAGGAGAAACGCCAGATCAGCTCCCCTTTCTGCCTGAGCTGTGCTTCTCCGAGGCTGGGAGAGCTCAGGAGAAACGCCAGATCAGCTCCCCTTTCTGCCTGATCTGTGCTTCTCCGAGGCTGGGAGAGCTCAGGAGAAACGCCAGATCAGCTCCCCTTTCTGCCTGATCTGTGCTTCTCCGAGGCTGGGAGAGCTCAGGAGAAACGCCAGATCAGCGCCCCTTTCTGCCTGATTTGTGTGTCAACGCTGCAAATACTGTATATTCTTGATTTGACAATATGCAGAGCTGTCTGGCATTTTTATAGTTAAACCAGGCAGAAGGGGATCAACTGCCATCGTTCTGCAATCAGTGGGGGGCTCTCCTTTGTCGCCTCTCCAGGGAGACTTTTGACCCAGCCATGGGGCGTGGAGCCCCGCAATCCCTATGATGCAAGACCGGAAGTCTGTATCCGCGAGTGTCTGTAATTGATAACCAAACGGAGGTTTATTTCCGAATTGCCCTCGTATATGACATAAAGCCACATTTGCACCATTCAGTGCAGTTTCACTATCTCCCTCCACTATAAAATTTGTTGAAGTGGTCATAACCAATTGCTCATTCAGATGGCTAAGCCACTTTCTGATATTTTTGCATATTGCAGAAAGATCAGGGATGTGGGGGCAATGAAGGGCAGGCCTGCACACATGTTGATATGTTCAGATGCAATCTTTGTTCAGGGCCATTTTTGTTGCTTCGATTTATTTCTTTTAGTAAATGTATCACTCTGGGGATGTGTCTAAATTATATGATCCAATTGTTGTGATACAAATAGCACAACCAGGATATATGCTTCAGAACTGGAAATCTGATGATTCAACTATTCCTTGCTTTTTCTTTGCTGAATACTTTTCTGAAGGATATTCAGTCATTTTGGGGCTCACATCTCATCATTTAGTTCTGGGAAGTATCTTTTTTAATTATTAGTTGAATTAGGAGCTATTTAAAGAAGTCCAGTATGATAAAGACTGAGTTTTCTGAAGCAGCATTGCTAGGATGTGAAAATATTTTATTGGACTGTAGGATCCTTAGCTTATTATATAATTATTTTTACATGAATGCTCTAGAAATGGATATTCATGTAAATAGGACATTTATTGCTTCATAATTGCTCTTGAGTTGAAGACTATCTGGATGGGTGAAATGGTAATTAAATCTTCTTTTCCCATCCTGACTCTATGGCTGATTGCCAAACTGTGAAAGTTAAAATTGCACATTTTCAGTATTAAATCTTTTATTGGCTATAGTAACAGGTAGCAGGAGGTAGAGCTTAAGAACAGCTCCCTCCTAGATCAAGCCATAATTCAGTGGCCAACTAATTGCTTCTGGGTGCTCAAAAAAATAAAAAAAACCCTGAAAAATGAGACATACTTTTTTTGCTGTCATTTCCTTACAACTGGTATTTGTAAATGGCATCCTAATCAAGATAGAACATTGGGTCTCAGAACGAATAGTTGTTGATAGATAGTGAAATTTCTTTGTTTTATTACCACAACAATTGAAAGATGTTCTGGTGATGACGGTTTAAAAGACAAAGTTCTCAGTGCAGTTAAATTAATAATGGAGTCCAAAGGGCACTGAGTGTGCATCAGTTGAGTCCAACTGAGGAATGGCTACAATTGAGACCCTACAGATAAGTACTGAGTCACATAATATAATAATAATAATAATAATAATAATAATAATAATAATAATAATAATAATAATAATAATAATAATAATAATAATAGTAGTAGTAGTAGTAGTAGTAGTAGTAGTAGTAGTAGTAGTAGTAGTAGTAAAGTTGGAAGGGACCTTGGAGGTCATCTAGTCCAACCCCCTGCTCAGGCAAGAAACCCTATACCATTTCGGACAAGTGGCTGTCCAGTCTCTTCTTAAAAACTTCCAGTGTTGGAGCATTCACCACTTCTGGAGGCAGGTTGTTCCACTGGTTAATAGTGAACAAGGCTTTCTCCAACAGATTATACTGAAAAATATATAGTTGAGCTTGGACAGTGGTACTAGTGATTAATCAATAGTGTCTTTAGCAGGGATATAGAAGATGGGTAGTGCTTTTTTTTTTCTAGTAACCATCTTTTCTAGCTATTTTGTTTTCTTTTTTAGCTACAATGACTGGGTATTTTTCCTAGTAGTTCCTTTATTGCAGATTTTTTTTATTTAAAACAAAGATTGCTTTTATGACACTATAATATTTTAGCTGGATTGTATACTGACATACTTTATGTTTCTGAAACATAAAGTATACTTACATTCTTTATGTTTCTGAAACATATTTGTTGATATGTACCAGAAGTTGGCACCAGCTGTGATTTAAAAAAATATCAGTATTGCAAGACATACGGTGAACAAATATTTCAATTTTTTATGTATGTTTACTTGTTTTTTCTGAAGGTGAATATAAATTAGTTGATGATATTTCCTCCAGTTCTGTGTTGTTCATTGCCTTGGCTACTAATCAAATATTTAAGAATAATCTTGGAGGAAGAAAGAAGTAAGGCTGTTCAAACTGTCTTGGCTTTTCTTCGTGATACATAGCTGGGGGTGTATTATGTTCAGGAGCTTGCAGAATACTCTTTGACCACAGCATCTTGTCTGAAACCTTGTCAAAATAGTTTATTGCAAATATCAGGCATCACCTTAAAAATGTAAAACAGAGATTATTTTTAAAAAGATTCTAATCTAAATTAATACTGGAGGAAACATTGATATTTTAAAAAATTATCATTTTTTGCATTCTCCTGTGGCACCAATAACATCTTCCAGATCACTAACATATATGAAACCATTCAGATAGCTCAGTGAAAACAAAGAAACCTAGCAAGCATCTAATTTTTCTTTATTAATTTCATTTAATATGATTTGTAAAACCACTTGATTTATCTGGGTGGTTAGTTCACGTATTAGGAAATGCGTTTGAATTGAATTATTTATTTCTTTTTCTTTTCTGCTTTCATTGTTTCTGAGAGGGTTTAGGTGCTCTCTGAGCTTCTTTGTTTTCTTGCAGATGTTTCATTATCCAACCTAAGTAACATCATCAGTGCAAGTGCTTCACGATTTCTGTCATACATTTCTTCTCTGCTCCTATACCTGTGTCAGATTTTGTTTTGACTATTGTAATGTCATCAGGCTGCAAACTATCCTTCAGCTTTGTGACATAATTTTTAATCGATAGCTTAGAGAATTTTTGAAGATTAATTACTTTATGTGAATCAAAGTCAGTTGCTCAATCCGGAAGGGTAATTATGAATTGAATCACAGATTCCCTTTCCCAACTAAAATTGGTTATAAGAAGAAGGCCAAAGTTAAGATAATACCTTGCCTGATTTCTAGATTCTATTGATCAATTAGATTTAACTGAATATCTTTAGAGATAGCATTAAAAGAAAGTAATGGATTTCTTTGGTCCAGTTCAGTGAAATTACAACACAGTATCAAAAGTTATTGGATTATGATGAAGAAACTGTTAATATAAACTGTTTAATATAAAAGGCA